TTAACAAATTGAACTAAACTAGTAATATTGTAAGAATACTATGTATAATAAGGAAAAAACCTAAATAATAATAATATAAAAACTTATTATTTTGGAGAGTAATATGTATAAATATCAATGAAAATAGAATGTTATAATTAAAAAGACAATTTTAATGAATTGGCACTGTAGTATGACACAAAATTTATTTCCTGTAAGCATTAAATATACACAATCACTTTCACTAACAAAAAAAATATATATATAATTTACGCCTGTTTACGCTTAAAAGTACTGTACTTGAGTTTTTATAAGTACTCTCTAAAGTTAGATCAGTCAAATTAGTCAATATTGACTAATTATAAGTGAAAAGTCGTTTACTTATTGGGATAAGTAAACGACATTTTACTGATTCGCAGTAAAATTTGACTGATTCAACATCAGAGAGTATGTGTAGCTGAACAATATACAATTATACATACAGTTTTTTTTTTTTTTTTTTTTTTATCGTACAGGCTTACTTTTTTCGTCTTCTTCAAAAGTATTATCTCACGCACCCTTACATATTTATCGTACAGTTTAATTTCTAAATATAAAATCTACTTATGCTCTGGGCATCGCTTCGATTATCTAAAAACGTGGCTTTGTTTTCTTGTGTTTTATACATATCGTCGCTCAACAATTGTCTTTTTTTTCATCGTCAGAGTCCATAGTTGACTTCTAAGAGTTACAAGACGCACCGATGCGTCTCTTATACATTTTTTACTCGTACAAAAAAGCTGCAAAAAATAATGTTTTTCTACGCGAGCTTATTTTCTTCATATTTTTTTGTTTTTTTTTTTAAAATACGTCAAGTTGAGCCTTGCAATCCCGTGGAAGTACTCGAAATCGTTATGGCAGATTCTTCACCTTACTCTAATATTACAAAATATCAGTACGAAAAATTTATCATCCTTCAATTACACTTGGAATAATTACTCTTGCAAAAATAATAAGCTGCTGTGATCGAAACACTGCGTTCACAAGCAGCACGTAAACTTATTAATAGTATAGGAAAATGTGCATTCGTAATTAGCTTAACAACTATCGCACAAGACTACTGCGTAACGCACAACGTTGTCGGCTTAATTACACAAGATTTGAGAAATCTTGCAGATTCTTGGCTTAAAATAATAACATTAGTGTTTACATTGACTTTAATTTTTATGATGAAGACGACGACTTCATACGATATCTGAACTTTATACTATCAAAGCTGACAGTACGACTATACAGTAGTTTTATATTGCTGATTTATTATTGTATATTATCAATAATTACAAAAATTTTTTAAAATAATCGTCATGAAAAAAATATTTTTAAATGCGCAAGTTGCGCGTTCACTTCATGAAAGGCTCGTACTTTAATTAAAACATATACACTTTGAATTGATCATAAAAATATTTTGCATTGTTTATTCGAAGTTTTTGTGTAACTATTAGGTATCGAGAAACCAAATTACTTAGAACAAATTATGGGAAAAAGTTTTTTGTACTCTTGATTATTTACTGGATATCATGGCATGATTTTCGTACTGCACATTTTTATCCTTACACTCGATTGCCTTCTCAGGCGACTTATTACTTATTTATTGTTAAAGTTAATATCCTGTGACGATAATCATTGCATTCGGATGTTTTCATTTTGTTGTGTTTTTTTGCCAAAAAAAAAAAAAAATAAAGCAAGTGTAAAGAAATTAAACTTTTAATTTTCAAATAACAGAACCTATCTCCAATAGGTCGATAAATTTTGCACAATTCTCTTTTATTTCAAAACGTTGATTTTTATGAAAAACAATAACCTAAAATAAAGCATTTTTTTTATTTGGAAGTAAACTTCGAAATGACTTGACCAGCGATTTTAGTTGAGAAAAAATGGAGGAATGTATCAGAGTAGTGGGTTAGCTGGTCAAAATCTAATTTCGAGGCGTGATCGTGGTCCCGAGTAAAAAAATAACATAAAATTTTACTTTTTATGAAAGCACCTAGATATAATTTAGATGATCGATGAAATGGTAAAAAAAGTGCAAGTTTCTAATTTAATTTAATTTTTTTTTTTTTTTTTTTTTTGTTTGTTATTAAAATTATGAAACCACGATCACAGCGAAGAACAGACCACCAGGTTATTTTCTCAAAATATAAAATTTAAAAGAGAAACCAGGTGGTCTGTCTCGCTTGCTATTTTGTCGCCTCGGGGGGGCAGTCGGGCTGATTATTGGGGTGAGCGGCCTGGAAGGCGGGATGATTTTCCAGATGGCGGTCGACCCTTAAGATCGTGGGAAACGGTCTCAGGTCGACGTGAAACCTTCGCGCGTTGAATATCTGCGGCACCAGACAGCAATCGGCTAGTGTGATCTCGTCGCCAACGCAGTATTTGCCGGCGCTCGAGGACAATAGTTTTTCCACAGCTGAAATTACATGCATTTTTTCTTTTCATCGTATTTCATAAAATTATCTCTGTTCCCTTTTTACTTATGAAAAATTAGCTAGATTTATAGTATATTCTAATCGATTGACAACTTATAAATGCAATTAAATTAATATACATTTTTTTTCCAAATTTTAGGTACATGAAAATTGTTTTAATAATTGTATTGACTTTAACAAAATTTATGGTTTTTTTATAGTGTATTCAGTATAAACATTAACTCATTAGCATTAGTGATTTGTTTTTCATTCGTATAGATATGTCGTAATTGTCGTAAATGCGTTTACATGCAAATCAGTCAAGTTACTCAGTAATTTTTATTCATAAGTCAAAAGAGAAACTTGGAAAAAAATTAAAATTTCTCTCATTAAAATTCAGTAGAAATCAGCCTTATGGTTGGTACTGCTTGAAATGATCTGCATTTTCGTTGAAAATAAAAAAAAAATTAGAAAAAATGGTACTAACCCGTAAAGCCTCGAGTTATCCAGTGTTGCGCCCACTCTTTCTTACGATCCTCTCCAACGTAAATAAGTACAATAAGATTTTGTAAAGGTTGGATACCAGATGCGATAACTTCACAAATTTCCCTGACTCTGGCTCTTTTTACTGGATCTGCTGGCATTAATGGACGATGCGGTCTCGTTTCCTCCAAGTAAAGTAATATATTTAGCTGAAAAATAGTTTTTGCTCATTTAATTTTTTTTACGTACTGTATTTTTGTATTTATTTATTTTGCTTTTTTTTTTTTTCTAATTACAAGCACATTTAAAAAGCATTTGTGTCTCGAAACTAATGAGCATCCTCACGAAGCATTTGATTAATTTGTTCCCATTTATCATTAAGTAGACATTAATTATGATTTCGCATTTTTTATGAAAATGGAATGTCACATATAATTATTTAATACAAGATATACATTATTCACGTTACCATCACGACTCATTACATTCCATGCTTAATGTTCATTCTTATTTATTTCTCTATTGATTTCTATTAATTTTTTTTTTTTAATTTTTGCAAAAGCATTCACGCATATGTAAAGCACACACAAAAAGCGATTGAAATAAAACGTTATTAAATAATAATAAATGGTTTTTCTTACAGATTCAATTAATGTATGATTATCAATATGGAGTGCCGGCACCTGTTCCATGGGATTAATCTCCCGAAACTCATTGCTGTGCTGTTCACCACCGCTCTTTACCAAACTTATAGGTTTTATGTCGTACGGGATCTCCTTGAGGTTCAAAGCTGTACAAGTTTCAAAGATAATGCATATATTTTATGATGATTTATGAAGTTTACTCCAAACGAGAAAAGTAATAATATATATTTTGCAATAAATTCTTACAAGATTTTTATTTTCATACTCATACACATCCTCTACATACCTATTCTCACTCTCCACGAGCAGGAACTCCTCCAATAAGAGTAAAGCACTGGCTGAAAAAGAAAATCATTACCATTAGCAATTGTAAAGCGAATAATAAATAATCTTTCGTTACCTGCTTTACAATTAATAATTTTGCAAAGAAAATATCAAAACAGAATAAGAAAGATCGTACTTAAAAGTTCTAATCGTACTATTAGTTGTAAAATAAGGTGAGGTGTGGATGCACGTGATCTATCGAGAATTTTATCGCAATTGTTCGTAAAAATTGATTAAACGAAGGAGAATCAAACAATTTTCTTCAAACCTGTGCACTATTATACGATCACAGAAAAAATTTGAAATTCTAATGAACGAGTATCCGTCAGTATCCCGGCTGTTGGTGATGATGAAACGGAAAAAAAAAAAAAAAAGTTAACGGCGTGTTCCCCGTAGAGGCGAGAGTCTCTCGAGGCCGACAGGAAAAACCGGAATGCCGGCCCGAGATAATCCGATGCTGCACCTCTTCGATAAAACTACAGAAAATATTCCAGCGTCTCTTTGAAGGAAAATAAAAAATCTCACCGTAAACGTGTACCCGCAAAAATATCACCGAGTCGCGTTGTGAGTATACACGCAAGCCCACATTCGCGTCGAGTGTAAACACACATACACACACTTTCGCGAAAAATTCGCACATCCACGTAAAGTAGCTAAGCAAACCGTACTCGCATAAGACCGAAGCCACCGAGAATCGGTGGATTGTCGACGCGCAAAAAATCGAGATTTGCGATGAAAAAAAACAAAAAATAAAATAATAATAATAATAAAGCAAAATTAAGAAACAATAGAACAAGGATGTATCTGTCCTTACCTTCCCCATGACGGACATTTTTCGCAGGGCTCCCGCACGGCGCTCTATGTAAACGCCCGGACAGCACGAGAGAGAGGGACGAGGCTGCTCCGAAGAAGTGCACGCACGATCTGCCGCCACCGCCCGGCTCCAAAAGGCCTCCACCTTCTCCTACACTATGTTAACGTATGCGCGTTCGTGAATTTTTTTATTTTTAATCGCAGTCGGTTTCACTTAAGGAGAAATGTAAAAAAAAAAAAGGTGGTACAAATTATAGAAGGCCGGTGCCCGAGCGTATGTTGTATACGCGCCTCCCTATCTCTCTCTCTCTGCTCCACACTTGCCTCTACCCCCTGGCTTATTCGACTCTCTATTCTTGCACGCTCGCGTAAGTGCAGTGTGTGTGTGTGTGTGTGTGTGTATTGATGTGCGCGAGAAAGGGAAGGAAGATGGGGTAAATCCACGCATATGCACGGGACAAGGATTGAAATCCATATAATATAGTACCTATCGTGTGTTGCTCTCAGCCTCCCACCATTTGGTAGTGGGGTAGGGAACAGAATTGATAAGCAAATGGGGGTGAAAGGTGTAATATGCATCGACGATGCAACAATTTTCATATGATTTTACGTACTTTTTGAAAAATAAGTGTTAACTACATGCATTTATTCATTTGGAAGATAGACAATTCCTCGATTTCGGTGTTTTGAAAAATCGAACGATCATACATCGTGTAATGTATGTCGATCGCTATATTAAGTCCTCGAAGACGTTTTTTTAAATTACATTAAATATATTATGTTATTCGAATTTCTCCACTTTAAATTCAAGTGCTTTCGTTATTATAGATTCAATCCACGATAATTTGAACTTGTAGACGTAAGAATTTCAAATGGCCGCCAATTTCATGGTAGTTGGTAACATTTGGCTAGTGTGTAAAGGTCACCATTGTTACCAACAGAAATATATATACGACCACTATAGCAGACTACGCAAATTGGTATATATTGTTGTTATCGTAACGTTTTTCTATACTAATTGATTGATGGATAATCAGTATTACTGAATAATTTATTGTTTTAAGAAGGATTGTTGTCAACGTTTGGAGTTGGTGTTAAATCTGCGACAACAGACGTTCAACTAGAATTTATAAGAACGAATTATGATATTTTATATTGTATGTGGACTTTTCCAACATTGACTTTAAATTTAAGAGTAAGTACGTTTTATTCACAAGTTTTTGTATGTACAATAGCAATCAGGGATGGAAACCTTCTGATTTTATACGCAGCTGTACACTGATACTTCTTTATACAAGTTTTTGTGCTAGTGAACCATTATGTGAATATAATGACTTCATTTTTATGTGACTTGTCAATACAGATACAAAATGTTATGGAGACTGAGGAGGTATATTCGCCGAAACTACAAACCATTTCCTGAAGACGACGCTAGAAAACATAAATTAAATTTGTCGCTTGTTTATGCTTTAGCTTCTTGGAATTTGTTTGGGTACCTTGTATATTATTTGGCAAAAGAATCCTTTCCCAAAGAAAATAGTGGTTAGTATAATTTCATTGACATTCATTAAATTTAGTTTTGTTGCAATTAATTTACCTTCAACCTCTTTTAGCTGCTGAGTACGCAAAATTTTTGGGCGTCACACAAGCCAATATTATAAAATACAAAGACTTCTCCAAAGTGGAAGAATACGAGGTCGAAATCGCACCAGAAGATCATCGCATTTTGAACATTTTTGAAGAGACTTATGGAGTTGCGGAAAAAGAATAAATACGAAAAATCAATTTAGTCAATTTAAAATCATGTATAATATTACAAGATAAAAATGTCATTGTAAATATATTAACAATAGTTTATACAAAAAATATCATTTTGCTATTTATTATAATTTATGCACACATCTAAAACAGTATGCCAGTCATTCAAGCTCAAAACAAATCTGTGATAACTGCTCGAGGATTTGAATTAGAAGATTCGTCATCTTCTTCCTTTGACCTTCGTTCAATTTCATACCTTAAAGCATTCCTGAAAAAATAAATGTTTTAATTCCGTTGCTAAATAACGAGTAAATTTTACTGTCAAGGTAAAAACCTCACCTATATTTTTCATATCTCATAACGATTTCTCTTACTTCTTGGGTAAACAGTCTTATTAACATTGCATTGAAACAATCAAGTTCAGGCAAACGAAATAGTTCCCATTTCAATTTGCGATCAAAATCTACGGAAGCGCGACTATAAACATACAGCCAGTGAGGAATCTCCTCATTAATGTATGGATTAGCAGGTACTAAGACACTATGTGGATGAAAATTTGTGTGCTGTGGTGGAGGCACAACTCTGACAGTTTGCATTTCTGTTGGATAGCATGGATGTTGATATTGAGCCTGCCTTGTAATGTGACTGAAAAATTCGTGTAATATTTAAATATGTTTGACAAAACAAAAAATATATTTGTTCAAGTTTACATGCAGTCTGAGCATATACTACTCACTTGACATAATATATCCCGTATTCTTGCGAATCTATTCTTTCCCACCCAGTGGGCAACCCTTCTTTTTCCAAAGGATGAGACCAATGAGTGGTTCTGGTGTTGTGATCAACATAATATTTTCTTCCTCTGAGAGTAAAATAAACAGACCAACCTAGTGGTAAGGGCAGCTCTTCGGACTGCTCATTTCTCGAGCTGGGTCTTTCAGATACTGTGTGACTATACCCAGTATTTTGCCTGTACTGTGTTTGAGGATTGTAATCTTCATAACCATCCACTTCGTAGGTATAAGGCATTTGCGGTGTGTGTTGATCTCTATCTAAATGATACTCTGAACCTGCATACTGATTGACATAAGTATGAGACATGGCGGGTGACAGACTAGGCTGATACAGCGGTGTGGCTGTACGTGACGGCATTCCATCACTCGAGGCAGAGTTCAACGAAAGACTGGCAAATCTAAAATTTTTATTTCTTGAGATGGTAGGTAAGATGAGATGTTTTCTTACATACTATGGTAGATCTTACCTCTGAGCTAAGTCAGGAACTGAACTATTAGGTGTGTACTTCCCTTCATGGCTTCCCAAGCCAACAGCACTCAGAGTGGACTTGGTATTGCCAAATTTTTGTACCATCATTGGCTGCTGTGAATTCATATGCATGGACGGAGGCATTGTAGGTTGATTCAATCTACGACCTCTTCTGTTTGGCTCTGTTGTCCAAACATTGATAACTAGAGTATAAAGAAAATGAAATTGTTCAGTTTTGACAGTCTAAATTCAACGAAAAATATGACAAATTGACAAAGAGGGAATCTAAAGCCTGCTGTGATGGCAAAAGATCTACCAAAAAATTTTGTAACAAAAAAAAAAATCTAAAAACCAATCAATGACGAGCTGGGCGCTACTCACTGGGCATCTCGGGTGGTGTGTCCTTTTTGACATACTTTCCAACGACGCCCTCCTTGATGGTTCTCAAGTCTTTGTTCTTACGGGACAGCATCCTGCTGTCCCTCGCACCCTTTGGACAAAACACAACAGCAGCCTTGCAGGTGTACAGCACTATCTATTGAAATACTCTTTTACTATGAGCAGTCGACATCGTCATCGAGGTAAAAAACCTCGTAGAACGGTAGTGCATCTTATTTACGCACGACGAAACATGGACATCGTCAACGAGACAAGAAAACGCGCGTCACGCGCCAGCACACTGTTTACTGTTTGTCTACTCTGTGGTCTAAACGCGGTCATGCGGTGTGACTGTGAATTTATCTTACAAAAACGTAATATGAGTTTGCGGTCATCTACGTGTTTTTATTTGTTGTCCTGAACGGGTGAGATGATTAACGCTGTCGGAGAATAGAGGAGTTTAGAGTTCAGATTGGAGGCTGCAGATATGTCATATCAGTCATGTGTGCAGGACTGGACTAAAAAACAATATGATACATAATTAAACAGCATTATTATTTTTAGCCACCAGTGCCACCACTCAGCATACTTACACATATACGCAATGCATGCATAATTGCACATGCATTACAAATAATATACTATACGAATTGTAAAACATAATCATGCAAAATAATTAATAATCTTTTAACCTACAATCAGCGCCATCTCACGTTGCTGATTTTGAGTTAAAAAGTAATCCTGAAATCAATTATAAATGATCTGATAGATAAGTAGACCATAATAGGTTGACATTTTCTGTGCTGTTTGCGACAAGTTTACAATCGAATTTTCACCTAAAAATCGACCTCCAAGACCATGATCATTCGTACACGTTTAAACGTTATTCAAGATTTCTGTAATACAAATTTTGCTATGTACATATTATATAAGTTAACTGTTTATGGAAACTATAAAATTAAAGGGCTGTGCTTGCATGAGTTAATGGTAAAAGGTCTAAAGTACAGTCATTTTGTACATATGGTTGATTTTATAAGCCATATGAGATAAGTAGAATGTCTACACTTTAAAGATCAATTTTCGATTAAAGATACATTGTAAACTTGCCGCAAATAGCACAAACATTGTCAACTTTGTATTTTATACGTACTGAATTAGTTGCGGCTGGTTTATAATTTAATAAATGGCTCTACTATGAGTTATAGTAATAATTATTTGGATCAGCGCCATCTAGCGTTGGGGATTTCTGAACTAAAAAGTGGCCCTAAACTTTTGACTCGCAGCATTAGCGCTTAGAGCCATTTAGCCAATTATAAACCAGCCGCAACTTATTTTGTAGCTACAAAATAAAAAAATAACAATACATGTGTTTTTGGCGGCAAGTTAACAATCTATTTTCTACCAAAAATCGACCTCCTGTGTATTTATACTTTTGAAGATAAATTTTCGAGTATAAGATAAATTTTTAACTTGCCGCCAAAAACAGATGTATTGTTATTTTTTTATTTTATAGCTACATAATTAGGTGCGGCTGGTTTATAATTGGCTAAATGGCTCTAAGCGCTAATGCTGAGAGTCAAAAGTTTAGGGCCACTTTTTAGTTCAGAAATCCCCAACGCTAGATGGCGCTGATCCAAATAATTATTACTATAACTCATAGTAGAGCCATTTATTAAATTATAAACCAGCCGCAACTAATTCAGTACGTATAAAATACAAAGTTGACAATGTTTGTGCTATTTGCGGCAAGTTTACAATTTATTTTTTATCATGTGGCGTTACCACACCTATGTAATTTTGTGCACTCGTACGTGTTTTCATGCACTCATAATTGTTTTTGTGCGCCCTTCTGCGTTTTTAAGTAGATCTAGACACCTACTCGACAACCCAATACCAACCCAACCTATTAACATGAATACATACGCATACATTCCTTGAAGAAATAATAATAAGCCTCTAGCCCGCTTCAACCCTCGACACTTATTTATTCATATACCTCCTATGAGGTCATGACGGAACTTTAAAAAAAATATATATGCATGTACGTCCTCGTGAAACAACGCAAGTGCACTGCCAGATAAATTGGAGCCTGTGTGAGGATGAAAAAGTGAAGAGAAGAAAAAACGTTGCGCGCATTCATAGCCATGTTTGCATACATATATCATAAGCAAACCGGAGTCGTTGAAATTGAGCCCATCGGATATCAATAAAGGGGCGTCCCTACGAAACCAGGAAAACAGGAGCTAGCTACCGGCATCCAAATGTGAAAATCGAACTTCTCGGCGATAAGTCAGGGATCAGATTTTTGGAGCAATTTTTCGTGGACATCGCATGTCCTGACGAAGGAGCCATATGACACGAGTGTAGAATATTGCAATCATCTGATAGGTAAAGAGAACCAGGAAAAAAAGAACGAGGGTATGGCTGCAGGAAATCAAGTGACTCCAGAGTCTGAGGCTGGGAGTTTCGAGTGTTTTCAGAATTACACTGCACCCGAGGTCTTTGTACAAGGTCTGGCGGGGATTGTCGACCAACAAGATGTTGAGTCCATGATACGTGCCCAGAAAGAAATGCGAGTTTTCCTTCCATTCTCTTATATACCTACTTATCTCTCTGTTTAATTTTGTTTTTGGTAGTTTATGTTTGTTCGTGGAGTTTACAGTTTGTTTGGACATTGTATGGTTAGTTAAGTGATTGAGACAATAAGTTGCCAATGACCTGCAGACTTTTGAGAACAGGAATTAGTTTATGTTTGTTTTTTGTGTTAAATTGTCTTTTTGACGTTTCAATGTGAATTTATTGTTTGAACGAGTGTGTATCTCAGTTCTTGTTTTGTATTTCATACAAATATGTGTATATTTTATGCTTGCAGGTTGCAGAGATTTGAAAAAACCAATGAAATGTTGACAAACTGCAATCAGCTGTCTATTAATCGATTAAAAACTTCTGGTGCAGAAATCAAGAAGCACACAGCACTTTTGACCGATATGAAAAAAGATTTGGATTTCATCTTTAAAAAAATCAGAGTCCTTAAAACTAAATTGAGTCAACAGCATCCACAAGCTTACAATGGTAATGAGATGCTTTTGTTTACAATATCTTTACCTATTCATTGATCATGGCTGATTTTATTTTTCATCATACATTTTAGAAGCAGTCAGAAGTAGCCTAGCAGAAGAAGTTATCGTTGATGAGGTTGAGCAAAGACCTAAATCTGCAGAATCAGAAGTTCCCCCCCAGCCACAAAGTAGCAGTTCAGTTGTAGCTGAAGATAAAACAGATGTGATGCCTGAATTTGATGGTAAAACTTAATAGAAAGCAGGTGCTATATGAGATTGATAAAACACATTAATATGATTGTGGCAAAACAATGAAATTTAAATTGTTCGATTAATCTTATTTAATGTTTTGGCAATCAACTTTCATTGTCAAAATTAAAAATTATTATTTTCTTTCATTTAATCAAATCATACTCTGTTGGCATTCAATTATTATACAGATGCAAACAAAGAGGCTCAATTCGCTGACATCAACGAGCGTCTGATTATGAAAAAAGATAGTTCATCAACTGAAACAGAAATTGACCTAACGAAACCAGGTACATCGTCAGGTTCTTCTGACACTAGCTAGTCCATGTACATCGAATTTTTATCGAGAAAACAGATCTACCGTTAAAGTTAAGGTATATTTAAAAACTGGCGTGTATACGTGCATTATATGTTATGTAATTGAAAATAATGATCGATTTAATAAAATTATTTATATTTTTACCATAGACATTCATTATTATTTACTTTACAATTGTTGTCATGTTAACACTTTTGTCGTGGATTTATAAAAATTACCATTCACGAAATAAAGTATTAATTTTTTTCAGATTTTCACAATTTTACATATAATTTTGCAAAATCGCGTATAAATTATTTGATCGATTTTAGTAATTAATTTATCAAAGTAATTTTTCGTTATCACACGAGTGTATCATTGTTGCATGTCAGAGCTATACCATTAATCCTCGATAGAGTGAGCCTAGCCAAAGTCGGTTCCAAGTACCGGATGTCGACAGTAGCGAGCCCATCATTTCCCTAGTTGATCTGTACCGGAGAAAATGATGGTGAATCCTTTTCTTGCGGTGTTAAAATCAATGAGTTCAACGGACACCTCACAGACAAATTGAAGTCGATTAGTCTATGCATCATGGAAAAAATGTAATAAGCCGTGCTAGCTGTTTCTAGTTCGATATGTGACCTCGTTAGGTATTTTTTCAAATAATAAAATTAATAATACTTTGTCTGAAAAATTGTTTTCATACTTTTTCTTTACTGATTACGGAAAAAAATCTTTTTTCATTTAAACTAAACACTTCGAGTTCTGCAGAAAAATTTCAAATTCTTGTCTAAAAAGTTTTTCATTTTTCAGTTGCTTTATAAAATTATGTAAATGTTGATAAGAAAAACCATGTATGTACAATGATTCTCAAACTTAGGTCGGGCAAAAAAAAAAAAAAAATGTAATAGCAAAAAATCGGTCGCAAATAAGAATGTCGTTCGACACCATGACTGATTATACCGACTTTTATTCGAAAAATCGTGGTAGTCGGCCGAAAAAAGCAGTAATATTCAGAAGCGAAATTAATTTTTCTCCTCACCTCGATACACGTTTAAAGGCGGTCCTGCTTCTGACCTTACAACATAGGTACCATTTCCTCCTATTCTTTGCACTTATTTAACATCGAAACAGTTGAGTCGGTATCTAAAAACGACCCCTAGTAACATTTACAGGGGAGTAAATCGATTATAAAAAAAAAAAAAAAAAAAATGTCCAGGGGGGGCGTATTCAAGCCTAACTGAAAAGTTTCATCCGCAAAGAGGGAGGGGGTGGCGGAAAAAGTCCTTACACCTCTAAAATTTCCTCTTCCGAATTAAAACGGAAAAGGGGTGGGTGGGGGAGAAAAAGGAAAATTAATAGAAGGTCCCGCATCAGGAAAGCGTAAGAAAATAGAAGGCAAGGAGGAAGACAGCGCACACGCGGAGGTCGTTAGATTGCCGCTCGTAAAAAGGTCCGCGAGAGCGAGAAAGCGTAGATACAGGACATCGTCACATATACCCAACGAGGAAGCGGAAAAGAAAGAGGGGTAGGTAAAAAAAAAAGGGGGGGGGGGGGGGAAATATGCGCTTTTAGAGTTCGCCAGCAGGCACGTCAGGAGCTGCACACGTGTGGCGTTCACACGTATATATATATAAATATATAAAATAATAGGACGGTACGACAGACGTCGCACGCGCGCGCGATATAATACGCGTGTATTATAAGTACAATGTGGTGTATATACCCTACGTACACGTACCGGGAGCCCAGCTGCGTCTCAGCTGTTTTCTTGCACTGCTCGCTAGCCCGATGTCATCCCCCTATTATGCTCGATGGGTTTTCCTATATATAAGTAGAGGGGGCTGAAGGAAAGGAAGAACGGCTGTCACATGCTTCGGTTTTTTTTTACTCTATTTGCGCGCACGTGTGACGTTTTAGCTCACACTTGGATTTAAACTGAGTTTATGGCTTTACGTATAGTTTTCTTTTTTTTTTTTTTTTTTTTTGTCTCTTATAGACTCGTTCCGATTTAAAGTGCTTTTTTGGTGATGTTTGCTGAACTTGTATCCATGAGTCACGATGAGTGGGACGTGAATGTGGAAAAATCGAGGTAATTTATTTAGATGCAAGATAATTGTACGAAGAGCAAACGCTCCGGATATCCGTGGAACTCGAGTTAGTCGTACAATTTGTGTCGGCGTGATAATGACTCGCGCAGTTTGATCGTCAAGGTGGTCAAAACGCGAGTTTAAATAATCTTTTCCGGGTATCGATTTTGGGGATTCGCGAAAGAGCACATACATAGGTAAATTGTATTTGTCCTTCTACATGAGCGGATTGTTATCTGGAAGTGTGATCGTGTGGCTGACCGAAAAATTGGAAAAAAAAAAATCTTATAATGATAATTTATTTCAATCGATACTCCTAGGGATTAAAAATTGTGTGTTTCATTTGTAAATGAAGACATAGGAAAGTGATTGAAAAAAATAAAAGGATTAGTAACGCATTGGCTTCCATTGACAAAGTTGTACCAATACTTTCTATAAGTCTCTGTATGAAACATTTGTGAGTATGTGCAATTGTTTTGACAATTGATTTATTTATTTTTCAATTGAAACAAATGATTAGAAACACTAAGAGTTTCAAACGAGCCACGTGGAGGGAGGCAATGAAGGGACGCGCGTCACACCGCACGTGTGAAATTGAAACCACCTATAAGTGTGCGCCCTAGCGTCATTTGTGTATATTATTTTCTGTTACCTGCATGATATTCCTGAAAATCCATATCAGCTGTTAAAAGTTAGAAATTTTCATAACTGTCAAGTGTCAAATATAACGATTAACGTCACTCAGGGTATCATATGTGATTGGTGTACGTCATATTTCTTGATAGTCGTGAAATTAATTGCCGAAGGTGGTACGTGCAACATTATTTAAGTAAAAACTTGTGTTCCCAAAGCAAGTATAATTAAGTGAGTTTAATTAAAATAAGTAAATGTAATTAAAAGTTTTTTAATAATAAAAAATTAACGAAGAAAAACGCCGTAACAAGTCGAGCTCTTAGCAACAAGCAGTACACAATTGTAGACCAACCGTATCGTTTTGTATCATTTTGTACGATGGTAAAAAAAATCCAAGTGATTGAAAGGGCGCGTAAGAAAAGTATTTTTATGAATACTCGAGAGTGAAAAATGAAGAGACTGTACAGTTATCAGTTACATATGAAAAAACAAAATGAAATTAAGATAAGAGTAAAAAAAAAAAAATGTAAAAAAACATATAAATACAGAAGGGCTGTAGAGTAATGTAAGCTACCTGCATGCAATGCAGAGGGGTGCTGATCAATAGTCGATAACTAAATTAAAAATTTTTTTTTTCCCCACGAAATTTCCAATCGCCCAACCCGTACGTACACAAAAGAGCTCTCTTTATGCATTCAATAATGAACTTTCAATAACTTCGAGTGCACTGAGCAGCGCAAAAGATAGCGCAGCTCAAACGCAGCGCAGCTGTGAAAATCCAATTAACCAAGATACCTACATAATAGATAAAACGCGTCGAAGGCATTTATATACACACATTTTTTTTTTTCATGCGCGTGTGCGTATATCGTCAAAGTAAAAAAAGCCGAGTTTGGTCAGACACCTGTGCAAACGACAAGGTATTTCGCGCTCGCTCTTTCGACTCCCAAAGCTGGCCTTATCATCGTAATCGTGTACAACCGGACGGGAATTACACCCTGATTTTCAAATTTCGTTTCGTAACGGTTGGCCAAACGCACTTTTTGCAGGTAATAGGTGAAGAAAAGGTGCAAAAACGAAGAGGTAAAAAAAAAAAAAAAAAAAAAAAAAAGTAATTCACGCTTCCGTTGGACACAATGCAGTCAGGGGAAGGAAATCTCTCGACCTCCTCCGTATACTCGGCCTCAAGACTCTCGATCTACCTGCAGCCATCCCTCGAATTTAAATTTTGTTCGCACCCCCCTCCCCCAAAATACATACATACTCACAAACAGCCGGAAATAGAAGGAGACAAGACGCAATGTATATCTTTGGCAAAAGTCATGTGATAAGTAATGCACGTTTTGTATCGCAAGTGAGAGGGAGGGAGAGTAACACCTCGCGGTTCGAGAGCGAGCCGAAAGACACCGGCAGTGCGACACCGACCTCGCCACTGTTGAGTATCTCCTCCATCCCATTTCCGCTCCTCTTCTTCTTCATCTCATTTTTGTTTTTTTGTTTTCATGAAGTATACCTCGTCACATCGCTTGCCGTACTCTCGTTCTGCATCAGATGTGGGTCATCTCGACGCGCCTATGTTGTTGCAATTGAGAGGCACCGGTGCTGTCGCAATTGAGAGTTGTGCTTCGTGTTCGGGGGTGCGGGTGCAGGATCATCTTCCGAAGCGTGGGCGCGCCCCCCTCAGGATCGCCGTTGTCGTTTATATTCGAGACATGCTCACGGAATTTCGAGGCTTCGCTAGTCAACATGGCCCATGGATCATCGGTGAGATATCGGGGCTGTGGGGAATATTACGTGTACACCTGTGATGGTGGAACAAAAAGGGAGGCCGGCTAATTTTTTTTTTTTTTTTTTTTTTTATTCGTCCGACAGAAGAGAGGACCAAGAACACCGACTCGGCGGATTACGAGAAGGCGATAGCTACGACAGGTAAGTAAATTGGTTTTGCAGTGATTGTCTCCCTCGGAAGTTGTTCTTACTCCTCCCTCGGGTGTATGCTATTGTTCGCTATACGGCAAAACAATGCGTATACGAAGCCGTGCATTTTATTTACTCAAGGGTTGAAAACGTTGAGGTATACGTGAAAAAGATCGAGATCGTTTTCAAAGTGCCATTTTTCAAAATGCGCTCTATAACTGCAACTTTCAGGATGGGAGAAAGCACGCGTGTCAGAGAATTTCATTAAAGATCATTAATTTTTGAAAGATCTCAACACTTTTTCACACGCTTTCAAAGATGCGGAAAAAATAATTGGAAATGGCACTTACTCATTGAACGTTGAAATTTTATTATTCACGTGTACTTATACGGTTACATTACAAAGTTGCCCTCTGCTTCATTTTCCCATGCATGATAACCTCGTGCTTTACAATCGGTCGTGGCAGTTTGAAGCCGCACTTGCACGCGTATAACCCACCAACTCCAACCGACTTATAGAGGCGATATTTGTTTACCATTAAGGATAATTAGTTCACTGCAAATACAAAGATCGAAAGCTCTGTGCAAATTTTTACGCGATACAACGTATACGACGCAGCATTTTGCTAACTAGTGGAAAAAATATTTTTTTTTTTAAATACGAAAATTCGTTGATTAATTAAAGAAAAAGAGCTGCTTTAAGCGTGATGTAATTGTATTTTTAACTCTGACGATAAATAAATAAATAGCTGTCGTGTCTTATATGCAGAGATTTTCTTCTTTGCGTAAATGAGGCGCTTGTAACAAAAATTTTTGCTGTTTATCGTGCTCATCTCTAAATAAATAAAAAGGTTGAATCATGCCTTTACAAAGTTGTGCACTTTGTGATTTTATTTTTTATTTTTTTTCTCATCATCGTCAGTTTTCTTTAATAATTCCTCGTTGGACAGGCACGTTGTCCGTACTTGAAAATAATTTGTTACAACAACAATTGACTCGATGTATACCGATAAAATTGCAATCATAATATTTTTCCATTTTTAATTTCGTACACTCTTAATACCTTTTTCGTTAACTATTGAATTAATTGTATGAAGTACAATGAACCAGTTCTATCAATTGTCAGGTGGACGTATTAAAAGTATATTAAATTAAAAAATAAAATACGTGAATCAAACACAAAGGAAAGATGATGTATATCAATATGAAATTCCATTTTTTTTTTTTTTTTTTTTTTTTTTTTGTCTCTTATAGATACTCTTATCGACT